AGTCATTGCAGAATAAAGGATTCTTCAATATGTTCTTCCTTTGGGCAGTGGGAATATTGGGGTAAAACTCTGCTTCTATCCCACTCCTCCACTGATAGAACTGCATGGTGCCTGTGTATCCTGAAAAAATTTTAGCTACTTTGGCTATTGTAAGTTCAGGTGACTGTATGGTTATTTTCCCCATCCCAATGTAGTGCCTCCCGACAGGTATAAGAAGCTTTAAAATGAAAAATTGTCTCCTGAATATTCGCTGCAGTAGCTTGAGCAATCATGAAATAGCTGAGACATAATTAAGCAGAATAAATCAAAGTGCACATTGCAGAATTTCTTATAAGAGACCAGTGCTGCTCCAAATAGACATTTTCAACATAAAAAAATCTGGAATGTAAAATGTTTGGCACATGGTATTTCACTTCTGGCACACTGAAAAGAACAACTCCTCCCTCCGACAAATGATGCATAATCAAAATAAATCTGTCTCCTCATAAATTCATATGGACCTAAGGATTACTGAGAAGCCAGAAAAAGTCAGACAGTTGAACCATAACATGCGTCTTAGCTTAATCTGTTGTGACAGAAGGTGTAGTCCAGCTTTTAATTCACATTATTTAGAAAGTAAAGGCATCTTTACCAACAGGCAGATCAACCTAAAACATGAAATTCTGTTTCAGAAAAGCTTTTTTTTTTGCTTTGTAAGGAGTCAAACACTGGAACAGACTGCCCAGATAAGTTGTGGAGTTTCCATCCTTCATGCTATTGAGCACATATCTGCGTGTGTTCCTGGGCAATTCATTCAATCTGATCCTGCTTTGAGAAGGGGGCATTGGAATCTCCAGAGATTCCCACCTCAAAAATTTTGGGATTCTGTAGTTACTATATGCTGCACATACTTTTATAATAATTCTGGAATAAAGTTGAGAAAATCTGTCCTAAAATAATTGCTTTCAAACAAAAAGTTCAAAATTTTCACAATAAAAAAAACCAAAATAAAACAAAAGTAAATAAATTACTAATAGCTTTGTGAAATAAGTCAAATTAATCAGAGGAATTTTAGCAGTGACTATAGCAGTAGAAACCTACATCTATGTAATCTAAATTATTCCACATTAGCACACAGATTAAAGATCTAAAAATAGTCCAAGAATAATTTAATTTCTTATTTTTCTACCTGGAATTCTGTAGTCCCACTCAATTTCTTCATATGTCCTAGTGTCATGTGCAGAAATGAAGAAGCACTGACCCAGCCATGCCACACTAGAGTCCAGATTTGGAGAATAGAATTTTCAGTTTAATCATTTTTCCTCCAAACGGACAATGGAACTTTGAACCAGTTTACCAAAAAGTAGCTCACTGTAAGTCAGGATGCTAAAATAACACTGCCATAAATCCACTTAAGAAACAGTATATTAAAAAAAAAAACAAAACAAAAAAACCAAACAAACCTTTTCCTGTATATTGCAAAGACCATCAAGTTGCTTAGAGTGCACAGTTTTAGGAAGAAAAGGTGGCGAGCTGCTTTTCAACAGCAGAATGATTACAGATATTATTAAGCAGCTGGAAAGCAGAGCATATTTCTACAGTAAACTTACAGGCAGGGCAAACATGTATTGCTGAAGGCAAATTAGCAATACTGAAAAACTGAAGCTCTATAAGGATATTGTCAAATTGACTTAAAAACCAAACCCAAACCAAACCAAAGAAGTGTGAAAGTTGCTGACTGTCACAGAACTTCTTAAAGACTGTCAAACTTCTCAGGCATGTGTTTTTCCATTTTTCTTAAGTGAAAGTCTTAGAATGAAGGCTGCTTCTCTCATTGGCTGATAGGGCTCTTTTCACTGGAAACTTTTATAGAGAGAAGAAAAGCAGGAAAGAACCCTGTTAAATTTGTATTTAGAATGACACATTCAAAAGAAAAGGTCACAGACGACATCTGACATTTGGGCTGGGTAAAGGAAAATAAGGTAAAAAAGTGGACTTTTGCAAGGCACATTGGCACAAAGGACCAACTGAAGCTGTGTGAACAGATGAAATAAAATTGATAAGAAAATGTCTGCAGAAAATCAGACAGCATTGGCTCCTGAGATTTGCAAAAGTAAATACACAATGCACAAGAAGAAAGAGGCCATAAAATCAGAAGATAAAGTTCAGGAAGATGTCATTGTAAAAGTACAAGGAGAACAAGATTTTTCAGAAGAAACAGGTGATATCAAACGTAGGAAAGACCTGAGGAAGTAGGAGTCTGGAGAAGGCTTTTGCAAGTGACAGTGTGCTACCATGAAGTGCTGGTGGGATGTCAAAGGGGCAGACTTAGGAGAAAAGGAGCACGAAAGAATTTTGTTAGATAAGTTTTCTAAGGAGTTTAAAAATTAAAGTGAGATGGAATATAACTATTAATGATGCATACAAATTATAAAACTCAGTTCTGGTCAGAAAACAGAAGAGAAAGACAGAAACAAAAACATTGATAAAGGGGCCTTGCATGGGCAGAATAGTTTCACACTGAGAATGTTTGTATCTAGGGTCTCCTTGCATACACAGTCTAACCTCAAGAGACATGCTAAAAAGGCAGTAGAAAACTGTGCACAAAGGCAATTACCTTGCAGCAATAGCTCAGTTCCAACTACAAGTTTAAAAATTATTTGATTTTGAAAGGACAAATTCAGTAATCCTTGAAAAAGTAAATCAATCTCTGAGCATTAAAAAGGTTTTGCTATAGATCTAAACAAAACAGCAATTCCAGCTTTTGTTAATACAAGGTGCATTGTACATTCCTGAAATTTCAGGTACTGAATGAGTTGCACAGATTGTACTGGGAATTCTTTTCTGAAAATAATGAGATGATATTCACCACTGGAGGATTAGTAAATCACTCTGCAGAAGAAGAATTTTAATGTTATTCAAAAAGACCTGGTATACCTCTACATTTGTTTTTATATAGTCAGGTGGATATACACAAAACTAAAATCCTGAATTTAAAAAGAAAATTTGAATAAATAGTTAAATCCTGTTTGTTATCTCACTCTACTTAATAAAACGCTATAATTGTCAAAGCCCCACACTAAGTGGTACTTTCTGTTTCCATGAGGTTAATAACACAAAATGATTGTCATGGTTTAAAATTAGTATGAGGGGACGGAACAACCAAGTTTCAGGATGATGCTCCAAAGAATACATCATGGAAGAAAGCCAAGTGTCGATATTCATTCTTGTGGCAATTGAATGGGCATTTGCTGCTATGGTGTAGCCCTGCATAAGTGCATTCCTGTGTCAGCACACAACAGAGTTGTATTAATTTGTAAATGTGCTACAGGAAACAGAAGTTAAAATCTGCTTAGATTTATAATTTGACATGAAACCACGTCAAAGGAGCATCTTAATTCCATCCTAAAATAAGCACACAGCTACCAAATGTTTATCAGATAAACAATAGCTGTCATTTTGCAAGTAATCAGCAACATACCTATTTCGAGTCATCACTGGCATACTTAATGTGATTTCTCACTGAGTCTACCCTGAAAATTTGCATCACTTGTAAGTAAATCATTAGCCTTTAGAGCACAGATGTTCTGACAATCTCTCTCCTACATGGTTCCATGTATCAGGTTTAAATAAATTACTTTCCTAAAACTTTCATAAGAGTAAGTTTTCATAAGGTTTTCTGAGGCTTAAGGAGAAACAAGATAAAATATTTTTCATACTTTTATTTTTTTGCTTCAAGAGGTAGAAATTGGTTCAAATTGAATGTAAAGAAAAGCAGTAAAATATACTTGTGTACTACTTCAAAACCATTTTTCAGTCTTCCAGCTTTGAAATTTTCAAATATATTCAGTGCAAAAAGTGAAGGATACAAAATTCCTTCCCCCCAAACCTTATAATATTCAGAGCTTAAAAATTAAGTCAAAGTTGAAATTATTTGTCCAAATGTACACAAGAGCCAGACAGCATAAGCATCTATGTTAATTGATAAGTATTAATCAGCACAAGAGAGAACAATATTTTACGGTTTAAAGTACTAAAATTTCATAAAAGAATACCAAATCACACACCTCTGTAACTGAAATACAACTTTTTTGTTGAAAAATGAACATTTAAAACCTGAAAAAGTTGAATATTAATTGTTCCCCTACTACTCCCACGAGGAGTAAATGTGTTCTGAGGCCCATAACTATGTAGTTTTTGAGATATGAATGCATCAATGGCTATCATGGGATGAAAAATTACAAAGATCCCAGAGTTGTACCAGGTTGGAAAATACAACACCAATGGCATTTTAAAGAATGTGTAGACACTCATGGTGTCTACAGATAAAGTCTTTCTAAGCAGTTCCTTAGAGACTGAAAAATTACAAAACTAAAGTGTTGGTTCGCTATACCTTTACAAAATGCAAATCTGGAATAAGTTCACTGACTTTGATGTACAACTCACAACTGACTTAGTTTTGTGTTAGCAAAATTTAGCAAACCTTAATTACATTATACAGTCAAAATTATTTTATGGCAGTTGTGAGCCATTACCATAAGCCGGTTTTCCAAATTCATGGAACAGAATCTTTGCAGTGTTTCTTTTCAGAAGCAAATAAAAGTGAGAAATTATTTCTTATGTTATTGGATAATTCTGGTGACATAATAAGTCTTATAACTTAAAGTGTAATGAAAATGAGATGAAACAAGAATATATATGCTCATCAATAGGAAAAATAATTTCTAAAGCTGTTTTAAATTCTGCTTATATGAAAAAACACATTCCTTTACTCTCAGCCATGCTGAAATCAGGTTCATAGATGGAACTTTTGAAAAGGTCTACCTGCAGCAGTATGTAAATAATAAAAAACCCAAACAGATTATTTATCATTCCATGTCACATATTAATTTCTTCTTTGGAAAAAAACTAGGAGGTCTCTACATTGAATAGTGTACTTGTGAGAGAATGCTCATGCATGTGCAATAATTAAAAACATAGAAATGTTGGTTCTTATCAATGGTTTTGCAATTCTCACAAACCTTCCTTTTTGTCTTCTGCGGCAATCTTCGCTTTTGTGTCTGTTATGTCTTTGAAAGAGGCCAGAAAGAGTACCACATCTCCTTTTTCATTCTTTATAGGAACAATATCCAGTAAGCACCAGAATGAAGACCCTGCAAGGATAAAGAAGGAATTTAATTCAAACAGCTGTCTTTTAGCAGAGAGAGGGAGGTAAAAAAGTGAACTGCTTATTTAGGAGGTCAGTAGTCAGGGAATCACAGATGTTCAGCTCATGTAAATCACTTTGCATCACTGGTTGAAGCTCTGTAATACTGCATTCTCCAGACACAAGACATTAATTTAAATGCAAAATTTATCTACAGGGATCATTAATAGAGTTTAATGAAGCTGCTTACTCCTCTGAAACCATGCTTTCCTTTGAACTCTCAACTGATGTTGCTTATTTCCTGGAATAGCTTTCACTTTGTTAACTTGGCATCTGAAGCATTCATGTCTGCTATGGAATCATTCTGCCTTAATCATCTGACTTGATACTCATTAAAAGCTCTTGACAGAAGACCTGATAGTCAGAGCATAATTTCACTAATTCAAAGCTATTTAAATTAATCAGATATCAGACTTAGAATAGAAATAAAATCTTTGCACAGACAGTGAGATATATAATACCACACATAATCTCTAAAATTAATATCAGCTATCTTCTTTAATTTCATAATGTTCACCTTTTTAAGACTGAAGTTGGACAAAACTGAGTTTGACAATATTTTTAATTCTTGTCAACTTTTCTCTGTCCACACCGACTACATAATTATGCAGTTTATAATAAAATCTTACTGTTTGTGTCACGTTTTGTTTGCAAGATATGTTGTTCAATTGCAATGACAAAATTAATGTTTCCTAAGAATATCACTTGGAACAAGAAAATATTTAATGCCTAGAAGCAAGCATCCTAGATCCCACTCCCATCCATTCTGGGGTAACTCAGCAGAGTACCAGGCTTTTGTCTCTTTCAGGTTTTAGGTATCAATGCTAACTACTTCCACCCACCATCAGCCCACAAATATTATTTATAAGACATATAAGTACTACTAGAGAGTTTAAAATTTATTTTTGTACATCTTTACACTTCCACAATCTGCTGCTTCACAACGTACTATTTTTAGCATTTGTTTACAAACAAAAGTCTAGTTAAATTCATAAAAAGAAACAGGACCGGTTCCCTGGACAACTGCTGCCCCAGCTGACTACTGCCAAATGATCAGCTGAGCTTTGGAGGGCTCCTTGGGATCAGCAAGCAGACTGGCCATTTCCTGCTGTGCTGTCTTCTGAAGTTTCTAGTTTTGAAAAAAAAAATTGGGCACAGGAAAATCGCAGTTAAGTTTTATAATTTAGATTTTCAAGTGGAAGTTCCCTGGCTGCCTTTTGAACACTGTAGATGAGCACGAGAGGTGAAAGAGCAGGTTTTCTTTTGAGGGACCACAGCAGTTAAAAGTAAAAAAAATTGTTTCAAAGGAAATTCATCTGGCCCTCTGTGCCCTGATCAAACTTTCCAAGAGTCACACAGGCACCTTTGAGACTAACATTCCTAGTTCAGAAATGTGGCAGCATTTCCACTAAAGGTATTTAAAGAAGGGACATGGAGAAATTAGAACAAGAGAAAGGAAAACTGGAGGACAGAAAAACCTGTGTAAAGAAGCAGACTTGCTTTGTGTTGGGTTTAAATATTCTTATTTTGAAGACAAAGCAAGGAAAAATTCCCTTTTAAAAGAAGAAAAAACATGTCAGAATCAGGAGCAAAGCATTTCTATTGTTCTTTCTCCCACTTTGATTCTCCATTCTCCTTCTTTTTATTTTTTTTTTCTTTACAGATTTGACTCTATTAAAAATTCTGGGGAAAACTGTTCAGTAGCATTACTGTCAGAAATGTTTCAAAGAGTCACACAGTCCCAGCCTTGAAGTGGTCCATTCAAGGAGGAGAAGCATTAAGAAACTTTACTGCTTAAAAATAGAAACATAAGTCTTTATAAAATACCATCATAACTTCTAAACTGGCCAAACCCCTAGTGGCAAAATTACTTTCTACCCAGCTGCATTCTAGCAGTAGTTTCAGTGAAGAGAGAAGTCTCTCTCATCTCCTTCTTCTAAACACCATCAAGAGGGCCAATGGTCTTTTCAGAAGATGTTTCTATCTTTCTATCTCCTCCAGAAGTGGAAGTATACCTTACTCATTTCAATTGTTACGTGTCTTTCCTATACACACACACACACACACACACACACACATTAGCCATTAAGGCCTGAAAGAAAGTTGCAGACATCAACCATTTGAAACAAACTTAACTCAGTTACAGTAATATTGTCCAAAATGGTAATTTGTAGGTTTAAGGGAGTTATTACAACATGGTTAATCATTAGAGAAAAAAATCATTTAATATTTAATGATTTAATGCATTGGCTCATTTGTATAATCAAAATGCCTTTGAATTCTTTAGAGGTTTGTCTCTGAACAGTGGTCACTGGTTCTACATCCTGTCATCATTTGGTTTCTCTCAGTCATATTTTCTTTTGTCATTCTACTTCTCTGTAAATATCTGAAAATATTTTCACTAAGCAAAGCAAACATGTATAAAATATGGTATGTGCCACTAAAGAAAACACACATCCAATACATGTGCAGACTACTTCTCTCCAGAAGAGGTCCAGGGTAATGCCCTGCATGGTGGGATGTCAGTTCTGGCTGTATTTATACACTGAATATTTAGAAGTTCTAAATTTGAGCTGGTTGGTCTGGTGGTTTTTTTTTGCTGTGTTTTAATTTTATTTGGTTTTTTTCTGCCTTTTCTCTGAAAGGAGCAAATGAATATGAAGGTGTTTTTAGACTGGGTGAGATGATCTGTTTTAGGTCATGACTAGGTCAATATAAGGTTGCACTCTGTCAAGAACAGAAGAGCTCTCTTTCACTATTGAAGAGCAACCTCGGAAAAATAAACTGCAATGCAATCTGTTACATAGCTTTTACTGAAAGCCAGCATCACATAATTCTATAAAGCAAAAGCAGAACTTTCTCCACATCAAAAAAAGTAGTGCCCTATTTTGTTGTGGTTCTTTTGAATGCACTCGTCTGTGAGACAGAAATTCCTTCCCTGCTTCAGATGGTGCATACAAAGATTTTCTGTATTGTCAAGAGTCGCCTATCAAAGAAATTTCTTTTGGAGGTTTATTTATATACAGGCTATTTTTATTGCTTCAAGCCACCACTCTTGGAGAAAGAGTCTAATCTTTCTCTTGCATTATGAAGGGTCAAAATATATTTTAATATCCTCAAGGCTTATATAAGCACATCACAGGGAAGGAGAAAAGAAACCAAATGAAGCATAATCTTATCACAAGGCAATTTGGCTATAGTCCACCTTTTATATATACAAAAAAAGAGAGTGCTTTATGGTCACTCTCTCAACCACCCTTTCTACCTTTCCTCATTTTGACAGCTAGAAGTCTGTCCTCAGACTGAAATCAAAACAAGGGTCAACAGACCACAGCATTTAAAAGGGAGATTTTGTACAAAACCCTGTCATTAGAATGCCAGTAGCCTTTAAAACCAAACACTCTTTTCACTAGAAAATAAAGCCTGTTTGAACCATGGGACAGACTGAGACCATTAGCTCTGTTGATGAGCTGGGTGCACTCACTGTACAATAATAGGTGATCTCTAGTCATGCCCACCCTATACAGAGCCCAATGAAATACTCAGAACAGAAATATCTTTGGTGGATATTTGGGTATTGCAGAGGTTTCATAATAGAGATATGATGTGGGATGATGGTCTGCAAAGTTTATGTAATTCTTTAACCAAATAAATAAAACTCTACACCCATCTTGTTAAAATTTTACTTCATAATTTTTTAAAGACACAAATATCTAAGAAATACTTGGAATGAGTGCTACTCATGCCAAGCTATGGCTTCATTTTGCTCTTGACAGTCTGGGAGTAGTTTTGTCCAGGAAGAAAAGTTTAAGGCTTCTTTTTGCTTTTTGACTGGTCTGGTTATATCCACTTCCAGACCATCAATTCCTCAGGACTTTTATTACCACACTGCTCTCCAGAGGGACACTGAGCTGCTTTATGCAGTCCCTTCTATCATTCAGGGGTCAGAAATAGGAAACACACAAATTTCTGTGATCTATCTCCACTTCTCTGTATCACAAGGAAGAGGGACCAAGCTCTTTTGAGAAGCTCTGAATCTGCACATAACACATTGAATTAACCAAATGCAATTGTTCCTAGACTAATGGCCCAAATATCTGAAGAAAGAAAGAAAGTTTAAATGATTTGCATACTAGATATAAAAGTCTTGCGGCACAAAACAATAGCTCTTCAGGGAATAATTATATATATGCATGAGAGGGCAGAATTAGGCTTCACAAGCCATCATAAATTTGGAATATTTATTTTCATTTAAGTGGGTGACTTAGTAAACTAAATGCTCTTGTAGGGAGATGCAAATCAAGCCTTAAACAAAACTATTAAAACACATTACTCTATTTCCAGGGATTTACGTAGAAGACAAAGATAAACATATTTTCACGTAGATAGCTGTAATAACTTGTCAACAAGATTGATGCTAAATCCTCAGCATTACAACAGTGTCTCATTGGTGGTTACTAATTGTCAGCAAAATAAACCTGCATCATAACACCAGAGATATTTGAGCCTGATCATTTCCACTTTTCCATCACAGGAAGTGTGCACATCAAGACTGGCAGACTGGGATGCCAAAGATTTTATCTGAGGAAACCAAACTCTCATCAGCTTACCCAAAAATTCCCAGCCTCACTGATAACACATCATTTTGAAAGTTAAGTGGTTTTGACAAGATGTCAACATTTTGTTGAGGAGAGCAAAGTTCTAAGAAAACAATGCTTAAAAAATTTCAACTGGACTGAACAGGAAAGGAAGTGAGCTGCAAGAAAACTATAGCTATATATTCAAGCACTTTCTCTTTTGTAAATATCATAACTTTGGCAATGATCAATTAATACAGCTAATGCAATGTTCTGCTGCTTTAAGCAAATTATCACTTCATTCTCCATTATCGCTGCAAAAATCAAATTTATAAGCTAACAAAACCTATAATTTATTTTTCTTGAATTC